ACAATTAAAAATCTATTTTGATGTCTTTTCTTTCTTTCAGATAACATGGCTTCCCCTTCGACGACCCCTTATCCGCATGACACTGACTGTACCGATTTGTTTCTCATCGGGAAGACAGGCCACGGTAAGAGTGCCACAGGCAATTCAATCTTGTGAAGATCGGCTTTCAACACGTCAGACGGTGGCGAGTCGGATACATGGGACATCCAGGTCGGCTGGGCACGACGTCTGGGCCGGAAGGTCAAGGTCGTAGATGGCCCTGGGATTCGTGAAAACAGATTGGGAGGAGGTCGGGCGGCAGAGAAACTGGTCAAGGACATGGGGGAAGGTATACTGCAATGCCCTAAAGGGTTCAATGCTCTCGTTCTGGTCCTCAAGTACGGGAATCGCTTTACCAGAGAGGAGGCAGAAACTGTGGAGTCTCTCAAGCTTTTGTTTGGGACTTCTTTCATAAGACAGTTTTGCATTATTGTGTTTACCCACGGTGAGAATTTTGACATGTATAACAGATCCCATGGCAGAGACCTCTCTTTTGACGATTGGTGCCGCCGACAGACTGGGGCCATAAGACCACTTTTAGAGGAATGCAACTACAGAGCTGTGCTTTTTAACAATATGGAGCGAGACAGATGCGAAGCACAGCTAGGAAAATTGCTTGAGACTGTGGATAGCTTACAGAATGGGGGCAAGCGATACACAAGCCAGGCTTTTGATAAGTTTGCGAAAGAAAGAGAAAAGTTAATTGTCTTGGAGAAAGCTCCAGTATTGAGAGAGGAGATTCAATCAAAGATTGATGTTTTGGTAGACGACGCAAATAGCCTTAAGCAGATCATGGAACTGGATGAGGAAGTCACTGAGAAAGTTGAGCAGTTTAAGAAAGATGCCAGAAACCTCAGGGAGGAGATTGTTGAGCAAGATAAAAACACTGGCGTCTTGCAGCACCTTGATCAGGCTGTGGTAAACTTACAACACAATGTTGAGAATCATATGGTTGTCTTGAACTCAACTCTTGAACACAGAGAGAAAGAAAATGCCCTGCAGATAGTGCAAGCGAAGTATGATGATACCTTAAAACAACTTAAAGAAGAACAGAAAAAGAGAAAGACGGGTTGGGGCCGAATTTTGGCAGGTGTCCTAAAAAGTATAGCCGCGTTTTTTGTGTCGCCAGTTCTCGGCATACTTGTCATTGCAAATGAAATTGCGGAAATGACATCGTAAAGTACATTATGTTTTATGAAAGTCTGAACGAGAACCTGATAGACCAAACACCAAAATGCCTTCTTGCATCACGTTCTATTTCCACTGGAAAGTATGTCCCAAATACACGACATGTTGTGCAGTCCCATCATGTTAGGGGCACTGAACTAGTTGGCCAAGACAGTTATCGTTAAGTCATGTGAGGCTTCCATAAAGTGGTGATAAAGGAGGATGTGGGCCAGCGGAAATTAAACTTAACCTTAAGTTAGAACTTAACAATCGTACTTTTGTGCTTATTTATATGATATTGTAGTTTTATGCTTTCCAGTAGTGTTTCTGTACTTATGACTAATATACATGTACTATGGCGGTTTCCTTAGAGTTACGTTCTCATTCGATTCCTTGTATTGTGTGCTTTTTGTATAGATTGTCGAAGTGCCTATGACTTGACTTAATAGATGTTTTCCCCAGACAAAGTTTATCCTGAGACTGAAGTTGACTGTACAGCTGTGGACCCAAACTTATGACCCTCAGACCCATTGAAGGCCGCAGGAAGATCATATATTTTGCCGCCCCTACTTGGCATCATAGTTCAGTGTTAGGGACGCTCGAATGTGTACTCTCACGCACCTTTTTTTCGAGGTGTTGCCCTTTTGATTTTTTTTAAGGTCACAAAAAATTAAGGGGTAATAATACTGATGTTTGATAGCATTTGTGTATCCCAAATTCCAACTTAACTGTAACTTTTAACACAGTCTCAACTTCCTGGGAAGCATAGAGCTATAGGGTAAGCTGCCATTTTACAGGCGCTAAAACACTAACATACCGACAAGACCTTGCGCTATCTATGCCTGGGTGCCCATTCACACCGAGGTGAAGTGAGAAAAATTCGTGCAAAGTGCCTTTCCCGAGGACACAGTGCTGGGCCTGAGGTTCGAACCCCTGAACATGCGTACCGTACCATAGCTCTTCTGCTGATGTTTGTTGACAAGTATCAAATTTGATTTCAAAGTAATACTTTTTTTTTTAAAAATAATTTGACACTTTTCAATTCTTTTGTGGAATACTTCCTGCGGCCCAGGCCCCACTGACTCGACCTCCTGCGGCAATGTATGTACAACGTGTATGTGTTTTTGAGCATGTGTATGTGTGGGCTGTGAGTGCGTGCTTGCTTGCGTGCGTGCGTGCGTGTGTGAGTGTGTGCGTGCGTGCCCTATGTATGTTAAATATCCAATGTGCTGCTTCAATGTATGTAATTGCCTAGCCATGTGTTAAAATGTGTGGATGTATGGGCCAAAGGCCTTTCAAATCAATAAATCATTTTGAAATCTTTTTTTTTTAATCTCTCTCTCTCTCTCTCTCTCTCTCTCTCTCTCTCTCTCTCTCTCTCTCTCTCTCTCTCTCTTTCTCTCTCTCTCCATCTCTCCCTACCTCCCTTCCCTCCCACTTTTCTTTCACACACCATCTCCCTCACTCTCTCTATTTCTTCCTCCCTCTCGGTCTCACTCACTCCCTCTATCTCTTCTGAGTCTTCTCACACCGAGTCACACTACACAAGCACGTCGTGTGCACACTCATCAATGTAAAGTGTCACAACACGGTGGAATCAGGCGCTCGTCAGTTTTGAGGCATATAGAGTTATAATTGATATTACCTTGAAGCTTGTTTATTTGTTTTGCTTATTGTGAAAAGAACACATATCTGTCTGTCTTGATAAGTTGAATAGCAGTCTAGATATTTGAGATTGACGAAGGTGGGGGTCACCTAATATATCTGAAATAAAATTAGCCAGAAAATGGCCGCCAAAGTAACTTTCAAAGCTTGAGTGTCCTTTAAAAACTGCAATTTTACGTTGTTTGTGCCTTTGGTCAATGTTTTAAAGTAAAACGCACATAAATATATTCTGAATTGGACATGAAAGGTATTGACCAAAAAAAAAAAACCAAAAAAAACCCAAACAAATTGCTCCACAGTCAGAAAAAAAAGACGGTTTCTTTGAGTTCATTATTTTGACGAGGGCCGGATTTCTCCACGATGCCTCACCAAATGGTCATGCTGCGTTGCACACTACACGACACATCGATTTTATCGTTAAGCCCGTGTGTGTAGTGTGCAGAGTCCTCGATATTGCAGTGCAACCACACACATGCAATCAAGCGCATATCTATAATAACCACAAACGGGATGAAGTGGGGGGG